ACTATGGACTTGATGGGATACACCAAAACTTCCAGTGAAACCAGTGAAAACTTTAGTGTCCCTTGGGAGAGTAGGGAGAGCCGAGCCTGTAGGTTCAGATTCTCAGCTGACATAGGTCAGTACAACTCCACAGATTGCAACAGAGCTGTGCTAGCTCACAGTTTAGCCCTAAACATTTTGTACAAAGATTGTATCAGCATCTAAACAGATGAAGTGGGAAGAATGTTGTGATGGCAGTGGGCTTCTTTGTTGACTCCAAAGCATGACCCATACAGCAGAAATTCTATCATAGCAAGCCCGGGACAGCACTGCTGAGCGAGGAGCGTGCTGGGGGCAAGAGCACTTGAAGGTCTTTGCTAGTCTCCTTTCCAGCTTCCTTACCATGGCTACAGGTGATGTGCAGCCTGGGAAGCAGGGACCTTCAGGAGGCACTTGGTGCTTTCTCTACTGCCCTAAAGTGCTGCTGAAGCACCACAGGCCACTGAACTCCCACGCGTGCAGGTTCCTCTCTCCCATCTGGCAAACCACACTTACTAGGCTTCAACTTTAACCCTGGGTAGGGGGCTCTTGCAAAATGAGAGTAGCTCTTACCTTCTGGCCAAAAGCCCTTTACCAGCACCCACACCTCATTTGAAAGAATTTCCCAAGAGCAAAGACCCAAAGGTCCCAGGCCTTTCTCTCATTCCAGGTTCCCTGTGAGATCACACCCAAGGAGTTCACAGTGAAGGCTGATGTGGACACAGCAGCACATGCAGGCTGTGATGAGTTGTGATGCCACAACAAGGAGAGGGACACTGGCACACTGAGTCCTGCAGCCATGGATCAGGAGCTGTGGAACAAGCTCACCAGGAGGCAGTAAGGAAAGGAGGTGGATTAGTGCCAACTCACCCTTTATTTGCAGATATATTCAGCTGTGCTTTCCTGAGACTGTGACCGAGTTCCCTTTTCCTAATATAAATTTTTCTAACTCTTTCCAAAAGCTTGCCACTGGAGTTCCTTGTATGAATGTGCTTTTTGGGTTTTCCAGCTTCCTGGGTAGAGACTTAAGCTTGACAAAAGGCATTTGTTTATACCAAATTCAGTAATTTTTGCTGCTCTTAACTACCTGATGGGAAGGCTGCAGATGTGTAACTAACTCCAAAGTCAGTAACAATTTGTATTAAAATTATAATAGATACCCTTCCTACACTCTCCAACCTCTTACCTTTGATAGAACATGTGAGCAGACCCAGAGGAAGCTTAGGTATGAGAGATGATCCTGCTGTTTGAATTCCCACCTCTGATGAGCATTAAGGTCTTACCTGTTAAGAAAACTGTTTCTCTCACATCCATGCAAGATTTCTGGGTCCTGTTACCTGTTTCTGGGTAACAGTACATGCTGAACTTACTTACTGACCATACCAAGTAGAAATATGTAAAATACACATCCTGAAAATGTGTAACGGCTCAATTTTTACATATTTATGTTACCTTATTGCAGGATCTTCACACCTTCCTATGAAGTCTTTGTGACTGTTCTTGAAAATTAAACAAAGCTCACATGAAATAAACCTAATGGTGAATACTTGGTCTGCAGGAACCCTTTCAATGAAAACAGAATGTTTTAAATCCACTACTTTCAGTTCTCCTGACAGGAAAACCTGATTAAACACAGTATAGAGAATTAAAGGGGTTAGTATACTACTAAAGGGACTTGGGAGGGAAGAGAACTAAAATCATGTTATGCTACTGGATTTTAGAAAACCAGCAAGAAATAAGGGGTCTTCCATTCCCATATTGCAAAGCCACCACGACCAGGTTTTGCTTGGCAAAGTGGCAGAGCATAAGGTATAATCTCACTTGTACAAGCAGCTTCACCTTCTCCAAGTTAAAATGCCCAGGTTAAAGGCTCTGCTGTGGTCCAGCTCTGCCTCTGCCCTGTGGTTCACCTGTGGACCTTCCCCATGGTTATTGAGTATTTGTGATACGTGTCATCCACCCCAGAGTTACCTCCCTTATGGAGAACAGCAAATTAAGGTAGTGAAATGGAAAGTTAAGGGACTTAGCTGAGGGACTCAGTTTGTTTCTACCTCCACTTTAGAGAGACTTTCTCTTCCTGTGCCTGTCAATTGACCCTGTTGAGCAGAGGCTGCTGCCTGCAGAAAACCATCTCTGCAGAGCACAGGGCTGCCTTGACCTGCTGTCATAAAACAACCACCAACATTAATCACTGCCAGGCTGGTTATAGGAACATCTCCCCCTTGGCTGAATAAACCAGCTGTGTGCATCTCCCAGCCTTCCACAGCGAGAAGGTGCCTCCAGTGCAGCTGATTGCTCCGTGGGGTTAATGACCTGAGCTCCCTGCAGGATTGGGACACAGGAGAGGGACTGATGTTCTCAGGGCATTCCTGAGACACGGTTCATCCTGCCCATCTGAAATAGGAGCTGTAAATCCCTAATCCCATATCTTCCAAGTTCAGCTGGGACAGCCTGTGGGTGCCCCTTCCAGAGCTCCAGGCCCTGGAATAACACAGGGCTGGCCCTCTGGGGCGTTCTTATGTTGGCACAACCTACCTATGCAAAGGAGGAAGCTGAACTCCAACACAAAAGGCATTTTGCATCTGGAGGACATGTTCTCAAAGCAGCAAAACATCTTTGTTATGAGTGTAACATATGTGGTACTCTCCCCCTGTTTGGCAGGAGATAAGAAAAACAGAAGCAAGGCAAAAATGAAAACAAAATGGAGCATATAGGGCATCATGAAACAATTACAGCGCTGCCTCTCATTAGGGTCTCAATCTGGGCTTGCCAGTCTTGTTTTAAAAACAGTTTTGTTCAACACCCAGTGACAGAGTTTAAAAGCTGACGTATCTTGCTGTATTGTGGGCCACAGCCACAGCTGGTGTAAATCAGCACAAACTAATGAAGTCAATGGAGCTTCTCTGATTTACACGAGCTGAGGTTATGGCTCAATAAGGTTAGGCTTGCTTTCTAGGAGCGTTCAAGGAAGCCAACTTCTGTGTGTCCTGTGATGAAGTGGTTATTTATAATGGTCTTCAGTGTGGTTTGGAGCCAAATTTCCACATCAAAAGTAGCTTTATAAGAGATATCCTTACAGTGAGGTTCAGTGCAAAATCATGACTTCAGAAGCCAGCTTTCCTCGTGCTCTCAAGTATTTGATTTCAGCCTGAAAACCATTTGAGAAGCCAAGAAAAGCAGAGCCATTCCTGCCTACTTCCCCAGCTCTGCTTCATCTTTGAGTCTCCTGCATATCCAACAGGCCCCGACCTACACTGCCCATTTATCAAAGCCAGTTACTCTAAGTGTCTGTTTATTTATCTTCAGAAATTCCCAGGAAGACAGACAAGTTTCATGCTTAACCTGAAAAATTGGGGGTGGAGGTGGAGTTCTTACCAGTTCCAGAGCTGTTTGTTTGACTTGGCCACCGGTAAAAATAAAACACAATAACGTGGCCCGGAGTCACAGCGAGAGGTGGAGGTCACAAGAAAACAGATCATGTCTTTCACAGCTCTTCAGCTCCACTGCACTGAATTATGACTCCTATTATTTACTTACTGGATTCTCCACCCTGTGTGCAGGCTCCAAGCATTCAAAAAGCAGCAGGTCTCTGCTTCAAAGGGCTAACAGGCAAGCGAGAGGGTAAAATCTGTCCTGAAACTTTCTGAGAGGTCAACGTTCTCACAGCCCTCAGCTGACTTCTGCCATCTTCTGCTCAGCCGTGCCTGCAGTGCTGCACCTTTGTGCTCTCCTCTGCTCAATGAAACAGCATCTCATGGCAAATGCATTCCCCTCACAGCCAAACCTGCTCTCTGGGCACAAACCACCCATGTGTTGCAGCTCAAGGTGCTTTGGAGAAGCTCATTAGTTTTTCTGAGGAGGTCCCTGTTCCCTGCATGTCCAGCCTTGGTGTGATCTACCAGATGTCCAGACAATAGCACAGGCTCTTTCACTGACCTTGTCACTTTGAAACAGGCTGATTTCTTTAGAACTTCTCGTTAAAAAAAGGGTGCCTTGAGTCCAGCTGTTGAGCCCCCAAACCAGGGCTGAAGCCTCTCCAGATCTCCTGAGTGGTTTCTCCACATCCTGTGGAGAATGCCAAGCTCTGTGGGCTCACTGGGGCCAAGGAGACAACTTTGTGGGGATGCTTCCAAAAAGGGTTCACTTGATACTTAAAGGCAAATAATTTTCTTCTTGACATATCTGTTATTTTCTTCTGTTATATAAGTGTAGGAAGATCCATCACCACCTGCTCTGTGTGCTCTGGTTTTTTCTCAGCTTCACCACGTGAAGCAACTGCGAGGTAAATTTTTTCTTAGCCTGCACAATATTTAGCTTTTAAAATGGTCAGGGGCACTCAGCCTTTCTCCTTTCTAACCCAAAACCAAACAGAATTCCTATCTTTTCTTTTTTTAATAATTTCCACAAGCAGTTGTGTTTGCTTGTCCCAAAATCAAGAGAAATTCTCTTCCCTGTGGAATATTTTTTAAAAAGAATTCGACCAGGCAAAATAATTTCATTTCTGTTAACAATGTCTTACAGCCTTTCAGTATTTGGCTCTAATTTTGGGGTTTAATGCATGTCTAGTCTTACTAGGGTTGAACTGGAAGGCAGTCAGACAATTCTCAGATAACAAGCAGGAAAAAACAACGTAAATCCACTCTCCCAGAGGAACTAGAAATAGTTAATTACACACAAGTGACAAACCCAGTTTCCTCACCATCACAACTTCTACTGAACCACAGAGTTTCAGCACTTTCCTTGAATCTGGTTGGGGCAAAGACAGGAAACTGCATCTTCTAAACTTTAGAAATAGATCTTAACCATGTAAACATAAGATATTATGCCCCTATCTTTTAAGTAACATTTATATTACCTCAAATAAACAGTCTCTCCCAAGTTAGTCTGTAATTGACATCTGACACAGTCCACATTGCAACAGAAATGATAAGTGCAGTAAACAGCAGAAATTATGCTTCTCTGGGCTTGGAGAAACATTCATATTTCCTTGCACAGATAAACTTTATTTTGTTGCTACGCAACCCTCGCACAACACACCCCGTTCTGGAGTAAATAAGAGCACAGATTTTTACAACTGCAGGGCAAGCATGTGGCCTTTTGGGTTTTCTCCCCATTTTGAGTTCCAGCCCCAGCTTTAGTTCACATTAGAATATTCCATCATTTTCTTACAGAGCTGCCTCCAAAGCTCACTGAGGGATATTTCAAACAGGAGAGTCAGAACGCTCGAGTCCTTCTGGGGCTGATGGGGAACAAATGGTGGAGCCTCTGACATCAGTGAAACCACGAAATTAAGGCTTTTTACTCTCTTTTTAATCTCCCTTAAAAATGAACACTTAATTTCCACAACAAGATATTCAAAACCTTTGTGCAGTGGCCTCTCCCTGCTCCCAGTAACACTTTAACACCTGCACCACAAGTGAGACAGGTGAAGAGCCAGCCTTAGTTTTACCCAAGGTGAGAATAATGGAGTCTTACCTACTTGGCTTTTTATAATTGCCAAATTTCTCCTGACTGCAGAGGGTATTTGGATTGTTCAGGGAACAGAGGTGCAGGTCCTGGGTACCTCTGCATCCTCCTCATATGCAGAGTGAATAAGACCAAGATGTATCTGTCTGAGGGGTGTTCGTGGACACTGAGTAGAGCCACAGGGACCTTCCCAAGCCATGGGTTAATGCCTCAATTATTCAAGTTGCTCTTTTGCACGTGGTTGCAAATCCTGCAAACTCTCCCAGGTAGCATCAGCCTTCCCTTGCCAGTGTCAGCAAATGAATCCAGGTGAGAAATGTGACTCTGAGCTCCAGCTGGGTGCAGCCGGCACGGTTTGGGCTACGAGGATTTGCATCATCCAAGGATCTGACCTATGTCCAATGCACATACAGAACAGCTGCCTGATTGCAAAGGGGCTTGTACCACTTAAACAGCAGAATTTCCCCTGTTTTGCTTTGTTCTTTGGTTCTTTACAACTAAGAATCCTCTGAGCTCCTACAGCTGACGTGCTACAAGCCCAGCTGCTTACAAAGTCCTAGCACAGTCACCAGGCAAATGACACTCTGTTCATAAGAAAGCAAGATTTAATCTCTGCAATCTCCAGTCTAGTTTCTCTAAACAGTGAGCAAGAAGTATCTTTTGCATTTTAAATTTCAGCATTTCTGTTTGCTGTCAAAACATTCCTGTTTATAATTTCATTTTAACAGCTGAGTTACTCCCAGGCACAGAAATTAATATCAGCATTGGTTGCAAAACCCCTTGAAGTTCCTGTGCCAGTCTTGTACCAAGACCCATCTCTAATCACACCTCCCAGTACAGCAGCTTTCCTTAAGAGCTAAAACGTTTGGAAACACCTGTAAAATTTGCTTTGAGTATTTTCTTCAGGAAGTGATGTCCTACAGGCTGTGCCTTCTCAGTCAGGATTGCAGGAGGAGGCCCACAGAGCAAACACAGTTGGGTTTTGTCTGGAAGCAGAACGGGCAACACACGAGGCAAAGTCTTCAGACCTAAATCTTGGAAGACAACACTTGATGTCTTCGGATCAGTGTCCTGCTGATTTCTTCTACTCTCCGGCATCCTGGAGGAGAAGTTACATGTCAGTTGAAACTCCTCTCTAAGCCTTTTCTTTCTCTGTCTCAAAAATTTACCTTCTGTGAGAAAAAATCCACCCCTTAGTGACCAAGGATTTGCCATTACTTCTCTATGGATTTATTGCTCTCCTTGTGAGAAAATAGAAATTTATTGTCTTTACATAATCTACCCAGTTCCCCTTTTATTAAGGCAGGGATAACAAGTCCTCTCCCCATTTCTCCACAGACTAACCTGTTTATACTGCAAACATTCCCCTCCTGTAAGTTGCTATAGCATCTTGCCCAGGGCAAAGGAAAGCTGTGGGGAAATGTGGTTACGGAGAGGAAATATTGATGCCTCACCTGTCAGCGCCATTGCCAGGCGAAACTCCTCCTTCAGCATCTGGAGAACTTCTTTTGCTCCTTCTTCACCCTGGGAGATGAGGAGACAACGTGAGCTATTATGTGTGTAGGTATAGATACACATATACACACGTGCCAAAAAAAGGTTTATGCCCCAGTGTAAATCCTGAGTTCTTGTCATAGCAAATTTTAACAGATGATCTGGATGCACCCAGACCCACTGAGACACCATCACACGCACTCCTGTTGCACACAGACTTGGGTACGTGCACAAAAAAAGCCTAAACAGTGAGTTTAGGTGTCTAAAAACACGCATTTCAGCTTTTTCTAACTTACTTGATAAGCCAGCCCCCAGAGCAGAGGTCTTCCAATGAACACAGCTCTGGCACCAAGAGCAAGAGCCTTGAGGACATCGGTGCCTTTCCTCACCCCGCCGTCCAGGAACACCTCCACCTTCCCCTGCACGGCCTCGACGATCTCAGGCAGCACATCAATCTGCAAGAGTGACACCACAAACACAGCTCAGCTGCTTCTGGAACCCTGCTTATGTTTGGGGTGAGTTCTTACACGCAGGATCCAGGCTGTACAGCAGCTCAGTGAGCAACTGCATGCACAACTATACCCAAAAAACAGGGCTTTGTATTTATATTTGTGACTTAGCAGGTTAGCAGGGATAGACAAAGGTCAAATTTATTTGGAGTGTCCCATAAAGACAATCAGCAGGGTCACACAAAACATCCATCTGATCCCCTGACGTGGATGTGACACAAGCTGGTATCGGATTCTTGTGCAGAATGCAAGAAACAGCCAGCACAGAGGAGGTCTTTCCATGGGATTTCCTCCCAAAATTCCAGTCTTCACTAGTTCAGGGATGAAACTGAATCAGTGCCACTTTTTAAATAATCATCTTTGCTTTCCTGTTTAAATTTATTATTCATTTATCCTGAGGGCCCAGCTAGCACCGGGATCCCCGAGGCAAGCTCTGGACCTATGGACAAGGAGTAAGAGAAAGGTGTGCCTGGAGGAACTTGGAGCTGGCTGAAAATCTTAATTAATGTATTCCTCCTTTGCAAAATGCATCTTATGACAGGAACAACTGCAGAGAAAAACTTCATGGAAGAAACAATTCGTTTTCCCCTAAGTTCTGAGCAAGGTGGGGTGTTGCTTTCACCAGACTCTACTTATCCCCTCCACCAGTGATACAGGGAAAAGGGAAAAGTATTTTTACTCTTCCCAAGTGACAATTAACCAAGGAATTTATTCCTCTTGCCATGCAGGAGGTCCCAGTGAAGGGATGAGCCTCCTGAATTCAAGCCTGGAGTATTAATTAGAGGGCAACTGCTCCTATAAGGCCACCTAAATAGTTCCTATTCATGAAAATCAGGAAAGACACAACCCCAGAAACCAAGTATTAAGGGGACTGGAAACGGTGTGTGGTAGGAAGACAAAAGACACACAAATCCATGCCTTTCAAATACGGATGTAATTCATTTCCTTTCTAATGGATAAAAATGACTGGAAGACAGGGAGGGGAAAAACCAACTTGAAAGTGCAGTTTGTTTTTAGATTTGGATTAAAATTTTCTTGAAGTTTGGCACTTGCTGTGATTTTCCCCCTCCCTTTGGTTTTGCTCTCTTGCCAGACATATTTTGGATCTCTTTCCATATACAGAGACCACTTTCTACATCCTGACAAACTGTACCAAACTTTAAAGTGCTCTAATAAGTAAAGCATGATGCAAACCATCATTAAAACAGAGATTTCCTCAATGGGTAACTAGACACCAGAAATATTGACCAGCTTGGGTTGAGCTCACCATCTGAAAAGCCATGACATTCAAGCAAATTATTATGTTTCTGAATCAAACATTTAGCATGATCTGATACAGATATTTGTATGATAAAAACTGCATTGTGCAGGGCACTTCTTTAGACCATAAATCCAGCTTTAGTAGTTCTCCTCTGTGCTCTGGTGTTGCAAAGGAATAACCCAGAATGTGCAAATCTCTGTTTTACTGCAGCTGTCAAAAAACTAATTCGTATTTCTCAAGCTTTCTCATCTCTCAAAATGATCTTTTTAACATCCTCATACATTGTTCCTGCTGGATTCCCTCACACCCAGGCTTGCCCGAGATTTTCAAATACTCTCAGTGGAACTGGGACTGCATTCTCAGAAGGTGACAAGATGACCTGTTCCCCTCTCCCTTCAGGGAATCCTCCTGGAAAACAGGAGGTTTTTCATCAGGAACACATTGGAAATACTGAAAGAGGCACAACTGGGCTTTGATTCTCCTCCCTTTCATTCTCTTTTTATTTGTGCAGCTTTCCCACACCAAATGAAGCAGGATGAGTGATGACTGGAATTTTGGGGTTTTTCCTTCAGCCTGAACACATACTTTTTCATTTGCCTTTCCTTCTTTCTTTTTTGCCGACCAAGAAATTCTCAAATCCCTTTCACCTTTGGAAAAGGCCCGGGGTAGCACGACAAGGAAAAGGAAAAAGGAAAAAACTGTAATTTAACCACTCTGTCCCTTTTCCAAAGGTGAAAATATTTGAAAGGAGAAAAAGAGAGAGTTTCATTCTGCCTTTAGCTGTTCCATAACTGTAATTTTTCAGAAGCCTCTAAAGAATATTAAAAGGGGAAAAACAACTCCAATACAACCTTCAGTGTGCTGCAAATGGCAACAGGAGTTTTTCAAAACAAGAATGGGAAAGGAGACATGAAAGAAGGGACTGGAAAAAATGTCTTCAGGGTTTTCCAATTTGATCCGAGCAAGGGGAGGCTGTGTCTAACTCGCAGCGTGGTGTGACACACCCAGAGAAGTGGAGAGAGGTCCCTCAGGGGTTAAGGCAGATAAGACATATTCCAGGTTTTCCCTCCAGCCTCCAGAGAAAGCAAACAAGCCAAAGGCAGGGAAAATTAGGGACTAATTGATGCATCTTGGCCCCAGTACTTACAGTTGCAGGGACCCCATCGAGCTGTCGTGCTCCATGATTTGACACCAGGATACCATTTACCCCAATCTTTAGAGCTTCTTTAGCATCATCAGCTGGGGAAAAAAAAAAAATCCAAACTAGTTATGTTCTTCCATACCTGGGAGCTTGTTAACACCACGATGAGAGGAATTTTGGGATCCCTAAAAAAATTCTTGCCAGCTAATGCAAAGCCACCTTGGGGCTTCAGCTTTCCAAAGCCTCACCTCAGCACAGAAAAAAGTTTCATTTTTAAGCAATAAGACCAGAAAGTAGTTTGAAAGCTTAGAGAACATTTAATCCCTTTGGATCAGCAGCCACTTGGGTTGCTAGTCTTTATTTTCTCTACTGTGTTCTAGAACTCATCACTAAGAAGTTATTTTGCTGAATGATTTCATCCAAGCCAAAATTTTTGGCACGATTACAGTAATAATCCAGACTTAATGAAACCACTACACTGTGCTCAGTGCTCTTTGGACTGAATGGAAATCCAGCTTCCCCTCAAGCTGTATCAACTCAGGTCAGGGTTTGCAGACACAATTAAACAGAGCAAATTCAATCTTCCTGGCTGCATCCGATTTCAGATATGATATAAGTTTAATCAGCTGCTTCCACAAGTGTCTTCATTACTGGCTTCTTAATGGTGTAGAGGAAGAGAAAGCTTTTCCCTCACCTCCCCAACTGGAAGCAGCAGAGCTACACACCCCTGAGGATTCCCTTAACCTACACACCCCTGAGGATTCCCTTAACCTACACACCCCTGAGGATCCCCTTAACCTACACACCCCTGAGATTCCCTTAACCTACACACCCCTGAGGATCCCCTTAACCTACACACCCCTGAGGATCCCCTTAACCTACACACCCCTGAGGATCCCTTTAACCTACACACCCCTGAGGATCCCTTTAACCTACACACCCCTGAGGATCCCTTTAACCTACACACCCCTGAGGATCCCTTTAACCTACACACCCCTGAGGATCCCTTTAACCTACACACCCCTGAGGATCCCTTTAACCTACACACCCCTGAGGATCCCTTTAACCTACACACCCCTGAGATTCCCTTAACCTACACACCCCTGAGGATTCCCTTAACCTACACACCCCTGAGGATCCCTTTGACCTACACACCCCTGAGATTCCCTTAACCTACACACTCCTGAGGATTCCCTTAACCTACACACCCCTGAGATTCCCTTAACCTACACACCCCTGAGGATGCCTTTCACCACGATGGGCAGCGAGGTGAGCCCCCGAAGCCACTTGATGTCCTCCCAGTTGAGACTTGGATCAATGGTCTCAGCCACGTACGCGGCCAGCCCGCTGTTCTCTCCAAAGTCTTTCCCTGAGGAAAACGCCAGGTCGCTGCCGGGAAAGTTTTTTAATCTAAGATGACAAAAGAAACAGAAAAATAGGCTGAGAAAGGTCCATTGTAGCCCCAAATCAATATACCTGTGATAAAACTTTGCTGTGCTGCAGGGCAGGAGCAAAAAAAGCCAGTCCCAGTGTGTCAGATCCCAGTCCTTAGCGAGCCAAAACCTTTCACTGACAAAGCATTTGATAACCAACATAAGCATTTGATCTTTAAAGTCCTTCCAACCCAAGCCTTTCTATGTTTCTGTGATGATTCTGTGCAAGGTTCTCCAGCCTAAGGCAACAGTCCTAGTTCTAGCAAAAGAAATAGGGTTTGGTTTTGCTTCTTTTTCAAATCCAGGGAATTCAGCTACTAAAGGTAGGTGGGAGGAGAGAAGGAGGAAGGGAAGTTTTGTTAAGCCCCATGACTTAGGTGGATCTGCCTGAAGCCTTGCAAAGAATTCAGAATTTCCATCTGTCCAACAAGGCCAACATCCAGCCAGTTCACCTTGTGCCTCTTTTGTTCATGTCCTGGTAAAACGTGTGTGTGTGGGGGGAAATTAGTTCATATGAAAACATCAGCTATTATTTGGGGCTTTTAGCCCCAGATCAGTTGGGTTCTAGGACACCCACATCCCACACGAGGCTGATTGCTCTGTTCTTCAGAAACCACACTGGGCTATTTAATACTCATATTACACATTTTGGGAAGTGCATGAGGTTTTCTGCATGGAAACTGGCTGGTTTCACTGCTGATTTCATGCCTGCAACAAGCAGCACTTCACATGGCTTTTCTGTTCAGCTCCAGGCCCAGAAGCAAAGGAGGAAGGAGCGGGCTCCCAGCAAGATCCAGCTTTTCAGCTGTTGGTTTGTGGAGGGTGGGGTACCCAGAGAAAAACAGAACCAGGGATAAGATTATATAAATAACTGTTGTTTTTCTTGGCCTGGGAAAAGCAGATCAACACTTGAATGAATGTTGCCTTACATACGTTTCAGAGCACAATGGCACCTTGTTGTTGCTTTGAAACTTTGTTGAAAACCTGTAGCCAAGAAAAAGTTATCACGTAAATGAGCAAGAGCCCCGCGCTAGGAGGGTTTCACCGCCGACCCTGCAACGAAACCCGGCCCGGCATCGCCCTGAAATCTGCAGAGATTAATTGGGACCTTTAAGGATTGCTCCAATTCCATGGGATTTCATCCAGTTCACTCCAAACCTTGGTAGGGTTTGGTCAGGTGGGGTCAAAGGGTTTCAGAAACGCTCCATCGCTTCCCTCAAGTATTTTGGGGTCATTGGACTCACACTGAGAAACTCTCTAACCCCAGGCCTTAAGATTATATCACCCATAAAAAATAAGCTATTTAAAGAATTATTGAATTCTTTTTTAGGTAAAATGTCAGTGTGTATGGATGGTGTTGTGGCAAACACAGATTACAGCAGGATCACAATATGGGCCATGCACATCCCAGCGTGGTCCATTTTCAGCTTGGGTGTACCAGGGTTTTTTTCTTTCTGCTGCTTTCCTCCTAAGATTGTACTTTATAACACAAAAATAGAGGCAGAGTTCAGGTTGCTCTGTCAGCCTTCATCATATCATATTTTAGCTTCAAGTACAAGTGTAAGGGGGAGAGCCAACACCCCAAGCTCTGGAGGATTTTTTGCCTGCGAGGTGGAGAATCAGACTCACTATTTTCCATAATATTCAAATAGAAGGCGAGAGAGACCTGGGGACGTGATTCTTCCTAGGTACATGTTACATATATTGCATAACACAGCAGTCTTTGGAGACATAGGAAGAGCAATTCAGTTTCATTGATAATATTCAAAAGTAGCTTTCACCCAAAAATCCAACTTCATCTGCTCCAAAGTAATTTCACCTGTCCTTTAATCATGCTTTCTTTCCATTTTTGTGTTCATTTGCGTGCTCTGAATAATCTTAACACACACCACAGCAAACTGCAGTCATTACCAAGACCTACCTGCAAGATTTTTATCTCCAAGTCCTGGATATCCCATCCATTAAATACCCTTCCAGCTAATACCTGTGGCTGCTAAAACTGCGCCAGCACTTCAGCACATCTTTATCAGGGTGCTCTGTACAGTCTACCAATTTATATCTGCAAAAGGCCAGGGAAATCAGTGCCCTGACAACACCGTTTTAAGGTTAAAAATCTCATTTAACTCTGTTAAAATTGAATGCTTCCCAGGCCCTGCAGTGGGGAGGAACTAGAATTAGTGCTGAAGTCAACCACGAGGCCACAAATTCTGAGACAGAGAATCACGGGGAGTAGAAATTGCCCTCACGGAGAATTCAGAGAGATTTACAGCCACGTGTTTCTGTATTCGAGCAAAAGAAAAGTCGAAGCTGCCCGCCCCACATCCCACATCCCACACGGGGGGTGTACCTGAGGTTTGGAGGGAGCTGGAACTTGTTGCGCACGTCGGCGAGGCGCCGGCCCAGGTAGGGCGTGTCGGCCGTGACGAAGATGCCGCTGTAGCCGGCCCGCTCCGCCCGCCTCACCAGGGACTCCGCCACCGCCCGGTCCCGGTACACGTACAGCTGCAGCCACAGGAGGCCCCCCGGCGCTGCTGCGGCCACCTCCTCGATGGAAGAGGTGGCCCAGGAGCTCAGCATCATCCCCGTCCCCACGGCCCGGCAGGCTGCGGGAATACAAAGGCGTGTTTGGGATTATCCAAAGCTGAGCTTCTCTGAGCTGTGGAGCGCTTGGCTCGCCAGCAGATGTTGGTGCGTGTAATTACACACTGTCTTTCCTTAATGTTAGTGCATTCCAGGGAATGCTGCATTAACAGCAGTTACTAACAGGGATGAGCTGTGAGCACTCTGTGCCTTATTCTGTGGGATTATCCACAAATTCTGGTGGCTGCTCTCTGCACGCTGCTCCAGCACTAGAAATCAAACATATCATAATCAAACTAAGCCTAATACATAGCAATAATTATCCTATGGGAATCCTGCTTGTAAGCCCCTAATGCCTGGGTGTCACTGGTCAGAAATTCTGGCATACGAATTTAAAAGACGTATCCGCACACAAAGTTCTGAATGATCTAAAAAAAAATAAAATTAAAATAACGCATTTGAGGCTTCCAACTTTTTGCCTCCCAAAAATCACCCTCCCCAGGGATCATTTCCAACCCAGGCTGCAGCAGCTGACCTCATGCAGATATATTTTTATGAATCTAGCACTTATTCTTTTTGGAGTAATCTGTCACTTAATATAAAATAAAGGAAAACACACCGTGAAACTCCAAGATATTATAGAAAGCCTTATTTTTCTTGCTCTACCGCAGAATGCATATTTTTAATGTAAATGGAGCTCTGTTTCAAGACGTCACCTCCAGCCCATCAAGGAATTAAAAAGTGGTCTTTATGACAACATTTGATTAAATAAGGATTACGGGTCTCTTGGAGTGGAAACTTATGAACAGCTTATTCAAACAAATTGGTCACGCCCTCCCAGGGCGCTTTCCCTCGCTGGAAATACGGTAGCAACGACCCAAAACTCCTTCGTAGCCGTTTCGTTCCTCCCCTTAAAATTCCTGAAAATAGTTCCCTCTTATGGTGAAGTACCAAGAAATGAGGTTTCTTTCTAAAGAACCACGGATACCAAATGCCCAAAGTCACGTTGAAATCGGCTGGGGGGGGGTGTCACCACAAATTCCATAAGAAGCGAATTCCCAAATCAAGTCCGTTGGGCGACGCTGAGAAACAAGGGATCCACATTCCTCTTGCTCTGTCCAACCCAAGCACATGGACGAGCAGGAAGGTTGATAACCCAGCAATTGCAAAACCCTCAGATCAGATAAGGGAGAAATGTAAATGTTATGGTTCAATCCGCCTTTAGGTATCCAGTTATTCCCATTCTTCCTCTCCTTCTCAACTCTACCTCCGCGGCCCTACGGACGCGAGAGTGGTTGCAAAAGCGAAAATTAAATATTTCTGGTGAAGAGAAGATTTAAAACACGATATTTCACCATATCCTTTCAACTTAACATCATCATACGCAGCAATGGAGAAAATAATGCTTTGCTCTTTTATAAGATCAGATCGAAGCAGTTCGGTTCAACCAGAGTTCAGCCATCCCAAATGGGGGAACGGCATTTTCATGCAAGCACACTCACAAAATTCCCCTCATCTCTCCTGCAAAGTTCACAGCTCTCTGGTGAAGCACCAGCTCAACGTCCATATTTTAGATCTGCTCAGGCCAACCTGAAGGTCACACACAAAATTTTTCGAAGTTTTCAAAATTCCAAGGTCCAGTTTTGGTTGATCTGTGCTTCACCTTGATCATTTTAAAACTTACTTTGACAATTTTCTAGACTTGCAAAACCAAGAGATACAGAGTCCTGAGGCGTTGCCAGGTTTGGGTTTGGTTTTCTTCTACCTCAAATTAGGTTTTGCTAAAAATACACTCCCACTTCTCGCACATTTAGCTGCAGTTGAAGCAAACAGAAGCAATTCATTTCCTCCAACAACCGTATTTCCCATTTCAGTTTTGGGGTGCTGCAAAAACCTCTGTTTGTTGTTACAGACCAGTACTGGTAGAGCCATATTCCCACAGGATGCTCTTGCTGCAATATGTGACATTTGCCAGAGTTTAAACATCAGCTCTTTTGTAAACCAGCCTTTCCTCATGCCTTTTCAGACTGCTTTTAGTTTGCTTTTCTGTTTTCCTCAGGTCTTCTTTTAATCCTGAGCGTTGCCCAGAGCAAACGTTCACTCCTGTACACCCTGCAGGCTCCTGGTGGGATCCATGACAGCACAGAGAGAATTAGACACACACAGGAGGCTGGGGAAGTTCATGGAATCACAAAACAGTAAAGAATCTTTCCCTAATATCTGATCCAAACCTCACCCCACTGTGAAGCCATTTCCCCTTGTCCTGTTCCTCCAGGCTCTTGTCCCAAGTCCCTCTCCAGCTCTCTTGGAGCCCCTTTAGGCACTGGAAGGGGCTCTAAGGTTTCCCTGGAGCCTTCTCTTCTCCAGGCTGAACCACTCCAACTCTCCCAGCCTGTCTCCAGAGCAGAGGAGCTCCAGCCATCAGATTGTGGTGGGGTGCCCAAGAAAGGGATTTTCACAACCTTTTCCTCACAGCTGCCTTGAGCAGGCACAGCTTTGTCAGCCCCACTGTGACCTGCTTGTACTTAGAGCCCAGGAGCAAGGACACACCTTCTTCACCAGGGAACACCAACCTTGATAAAATGGGACTTTCCTCATCCTTGGGGAACTCAACCAAAGTATTTTACACAGCAACAAATCAAGGCTGACCCTGGGACAGGACCCACTTGGGAGTTCCAGTGGAGAACAGAGCAGTGACCTTGCTTAGCCCTTTTTCATCCTGAAACCTCAGTCTCCCCATCTGGTGAGACATCACTTCATTACATGGTTTGGGAAGGGTATGGAATTTGTCCCTGTGGGCAACTCAGAGGCAACGTACTCCAGGGGAGACACTGGAGAGGAGCCCCGTTCAAAGGTGCATATTTTGTCAGGGTTACCTGGTATGGGAATGGGAATTTGCTTTTTTCCCCTCCAGCTGGGCAAATTCCCCTCATTTCCCTTTTAGGGGCATCTCCAAAGCCCAGCAGTCACACTGCTCCCCTGCAGTCATTCTTCCCCAAATCCACCAGTGAATCCACTGTCCCCAAGTTAAGGGCCAGAGGACATTCCTTGGGATCCACACGCTGTCCTTTTGGCACGGTGGTATTTCTCGGGAGCAGCAGCCAGGTTCTTGGAGCTGCATCTCCTGAGAAACAGAGTTGTTTAAAGTACTTCACGTTGCTCTCCTGACAAACTACTCTTGGCTGAGATGCCCTGCCCGGCCTTCCCTCGCCCGGCCCTCCCGAATCCCCCGTGCGAGTCATCTTGCCCCAGCGCATTCCGTCAGCTGTGCGGGAAGGCTGCAGGCTCCAGGGAAGGAGACACGTGGCCCAAAGGGATCTGGCAGGGCTGTCATGCCAGGCTGCCTGTGTGCACACGCAGCACAAAGTCCCCTGGCCGTGACAGTCTCCAGGGTCAACCCGGGCCAGGTCAGCCCAGGCCATGTTGTCCCACGGGAATATTGTCCTCTGGAGCAGCCACACCTCAAAATTAACCTCTGTTTTTTGATCAATACGTAGATAACAGGTTAAAGATAAGTACAAAATCCTGCTGTTTTCACTGTGGCTGAGCACAACAAGGAATAGATCACCAAATCCCTCCTTCCCAGTCACTGGTGAGCACAAGGAACTTTCCAGGAGCAAACAAAAAGCACGGTAGCAGCCTGTTAAGAGCCAAAGGAACACAGGTGTTGCTCCCTGTCTAGTGGGAGTGACAGAGCTGCCAGTAACTCAGCTAAAACAGGGGGGGGAAAAGCTTTCCAGTCAATATTGCTGTTCTCCATTTGGCAAAGCAAACGGTGCAGTCATGTCGCAGGTGGTGGTGAAACCCTTCCTGCGTCAGCAGCAGCTCCGAGAAAGGTTTGAGGGCAGTCACAGAGGGCAAACAAAAAACTCTGAGCCACTGCCATGCACAGTTTTCCAAAAGAAAATTGGGTTATCAGCCTGATTTTCAGCCAGTCAGGGAGAAGTCAAGTCTTGCAGTGCTGCTTCGGGGTGAAAACACAGGAATAGAAGGTAGCAGGTCAGTAAGAGCTTTATGGAACAAGCAGGAATATAAACAGAAATGTCAGTAAAATAATGCTACAAATCTGTTTATAATCAATTAAAGGCTGCAAAAAATTGCCATTTCTTGCTAAGGAGCTGGATGGTGCCCGAGATTTTGTGTCAGGGCACTTGAGGTGGGTGCTGTTGACACAGGGAGCACGTTGGTTTGCAAGCCCAGCGTGGAGTCGGGATGGCAAAGGGATGTCCTGGCATGAACAGCGAGTCCCCTGATGGACAGGCAAGAAAAATCCCTCAGAATCAGAAGGGTTCTATTGAAAAGTGTTTAGAGAATAACCTTTTGCTCTTTAATGGTGGCTAAGATTATTCATCCAATTTGGCAAATATTTTTAGTTAAAGAGGTTGAAATTGGAGTGGGGAGGATGAGAAAAAAAAAAATCACCTAAGTCAAAATGTCATGTGTTGATCTTTTCAAAATGGAAATGTTTTCTCCTGAGCTAACACTTTTGTTTCAAAACAGAGCTATGGCTAAAAGCATCAGCCAGTAGGAAAATGAAATAAAACATTGTGTTTTGGATCAAATGAAACATTTCAGTTAATCCAAAACAATTTTCCTCCCAATTTTTCAGTTTCTACTGAACAGAAAATCCATTCTTTGGAAAACTGCCCTATATACTGATGAGCTACAACTAAAATGCCGGGGAATATACTTGAAGGAAGACCTGGAAGAACTGGGACAAGTGCCAAGGTGTGTGAAATTGTTTCAAGGACAAGCAAACTTTCTCTCTAAGGAAGGACTCCTGGCATTTAGACATGTCAAAGAAAACTGAGGAGTAACATGATTACAGCCTGCATGGGCATTTTTTTTTAAAATTTTTTTTAATTTTTTTTTTTTTATTCTAGCTAACAGAAGTATAAATAAACCCAATACCTGGATTTGAGGCTGTGCAAGTTTTGACCATGATTGACCCCACTCAGAGTGAGGTCAGTTAACCTTTGGAATAACTTCCATTGTGTTGGCTGGCCTGTCACCAGCAACTTTTAAAATTGCAACTGGAAGTTTTTCCTTAAAAGATCCTTTGCTAACGAAGCAAACTGTCAGTGAAGGGTGTTTAAGGCCCTGTCTTGGGAAGGTGCAGCTGGGTCAGTGCAGGAGAGCATCCCTGGGGGAGCAGCAGCCCCCAAAAGCCTGGCAAGCCCCAAAGTGAGGGGTTGTGAGGTTGAAGGGAACCTTTAAGCCAAAGTTGCACTTTACTGAGCTAATTCCTGTCATCTTATAAGGTCAAACCAAGAGCCTGGCACTGAATGTCATCTTATAAGGTCAAACCAAGAGCCTGGCACTGAATGCCCCACCCCACCTCTAACAGCACAAAACCAAAGCCATATTTTCCTCTCCCCCAAACACCAACGCAATACAGAGGGTGTGATTTTAATTCTGCTCTCCTCTGAAAGCAATGAAAAACTCCCCAGCTCCAATGGATGTGTTCACTGGATCACATATTCCAACCAGTGCCAGTACCCTGAGCTCCCCCAGCTCGAAAACCCAAGGACATTAAATGCAATAATCATGTGTTAAAAGTTTGAAAAGTACACAAAAGGAAGTGCACAAAAATCAGGAAATTCCAGAATTAAGTTATTACCACAACCATAACTCAGCCCTGGTACTCAGCCTTACTGTACCCCTTGACTTGGCATGCCATTATGGATTTATGCCTTAAAATGTGGCCAGGATGCAGAATCAGTGGGAATTTTTGCTAAGAAACATCCTGAGTTTTGTGTGTTTCAAATCTTGCCCTCCTCATCGCATTAATACGCTTGCACTTAACAGTTTAACGCTTCAGAGTTTCCTCCCAGCATAACCTGGCCCGGAGTTAATCCACGGGAGCTGCCAAAGGACAGGACAGTACCAAGGCTCCCACCGGCCCTTCCCAAACCCATTCGAGGTGTTGGAGCTCCATCGCGTGGAAAGCGCCGGCACATGCAGCAGCCATAACAGCACTGGCTTCCAGTAAATCTCTGGGGAAGGGAAAAAAGAGTGGCCCCAAACACGGTATAAAGTTAGAGAAATCTGCTTTTACAGAGATGGCTGCTGGAGCTGTGCTGCGACCCTGATGCAGCTTCTTACTGAGAACTGAGACCAGCTCCCACTGCAAGGATGGTCCTTAAGATTCCCTTCACATTGGTTCTTGCTGCATTGGGCGTGGAAACACTGTTGGAGGAATAACTCAACCATGCAGGGGAGTTATTTTTTTTTCCAATATCACTTATTTAAGTTTTGTACCCTGTTTCATTCAGTGCCAGGGCACTGAAATGCACAGCCCAAACCTCTTCCTCAGTTTTCTTGTCATTCTGCAGCTTGGGTGAAAGGAGTAGGAAACAAGTTTGCCACCTCAGTTCTGGTTAATGCCCCATTTCTCACAGCCTTTTAGGTGCAGTCTCTGTGCTGGCAACATCTCTGGGCAGCTTCTAGCCCAGAGGGGCCCTTATCTCCCTGGGATGCTCTCTCTTCAAAGCAAGGATTTTTCCCAGGCAAACAAAGGCTTCTGAATTTCCAGAAGCAATTCTCTAAGAGGAAAGCTGGTGCTGTGATGATATATATATATATAGTTATATTGATAGAATGTATAGGTAGATACAGTTTTCAATGTTACACGTGACAAGCATAACGCTCTTGCAAACTCCTGTTTCACAGGGAGGGAGCGCCGCTCGAACAAAGCAAACAGCGGAAAACAACCCAAAAACCAACCAGCAGCAGCTCAAACCCACCCTGGAGCAAGAAACCAAGTGGGATCCGTGGCCAGGATGATTTTGTCCGTGCCCACCCCCCCGTGGGGGCAGCCTGTGCGCTCACCTCTGGCAGTGGCCGTCTCCCCGTCGGGGTGAGCCATGCGCTGCATCGCGGTGGCGGCCACGCACACGGGCACCGACACCCGCTGCCCCAGCACCGAGGTGGACACGTCCATCTCCGACACATCCCTCAGCACCCGCGGGTACAGCTTCCACCTGGCACGGGGGGCAAAGGGAGAGCGTTAAAGGAGGCCTGAGGCACCGGGGATATTTACAGTTCCGAGCGGGCAAGGGCAGGTTTTCCTGCTGTCACACGGTGGGAGCTGTGCTGGGGCTGGAGCAGGACCCCCCTGTGTCACCCAGAGCTGCAAACTAAACCCCACTGAACCCGAAATCACCCTCTGCTGCAGTCTTCAACAGCACAACATCCACGCCTTTAGGAACGGGGCTGCATTCCTGGGGACGCCTGTGAAACGGGACTTTTCCCCGCCATCCAGGCGATGTCACAGCACTGCCACCGTCGCCAGAAGCCACAAGAGGGGGTGCGATAGCAGGGGCTGCCTCTCACACGGGCCAAAGCCTCTCTGCAAGCACCAGCCTCTCACTGAGGCCTCCCTCCCTCCGAAAGGGCTCCGATGGCCACTGGATTTCAATTACAGAAAAGAATTAAAAGCTTAAGCTCTGGTACTGCTGAACCTGACTAACTGCTCTGACTGAAAATATTGTAATTCTCAGCATGGAGAGAGAACCAGAGCCATTGTAACCCTCCAACAGCAAGGAGGGGTGAGCTTGAGCTTGCATATTAAACTGGCAAGTCAGTGAAAAAGAGACAAGACAAAGTCTTGTGTATTTTGTAGAAAGATCAAGAGACATTTCCCTGAGGAGCCTGGGACAGAGCCAGGATGAGACCCACCGTCCTGAAGTCCTGGAGCACGGGGCCCTGCCAGCTCTCCAGGAAGTGCTCCCCAGGGAGGAGAAGGACAGTTGTGATGCTTGGAAGGAGCTGTGTGGCCACGGGGAGTCAGCTGTGCTGCTCAGTGCCAAGACACACACGGCAAGTGTGTCCTCGGACTTGTTTTCATACCATTGTATCAGTTTGTTATTTTTCAAGGGAGGAGGGGCTGAGGGTGGGACAAAGAAAATATGACTTTTTTTTCCTCCTCCTTTCTTCCTAATCCTCATTCTGAAGGATTCCACTCAGCTCTAAGGCAAAAATCCTTTCATAACCTTGCTCATTTAGACAGTCAGAAGCATAAAGGATGTGGAGCATCCCCTCTTCCCCAGCCTCCTGGTTTCTCCTTGTTACCTGGTACGAGACACTGCCACCTCCAAGCCCACCTGTGAGGCTCAGTCCTGAGGCACAACATTCCTGGAGTGCTTTTAGCTGGGAAAAGGAAGAGAAGGAGCAAAAATCCTCCCAGCAGTGTGTGCAAGGAAAATGATGCAGTTCCAGGCAGCGATACCTCTCCATCAACACCCTGACTATGTACTGGGTCCCACGAAAATACCAACATCACTACTTCTTTTAATAAAATCTTATCTTCCCATGGAAACATGGGTGTTTCCAGCTGGGAGTCTGATGGACACTCAAAGCCAGGCATTTTCTAGACAAGCCCCTAACAGCAGCAAGGAAAACTCACAAGTAGTATTTATTTCCCAGCCACCAGAGCACATGTTCATTCAGCTGCCACACACCACCTGCTTCCTCCAGGTTTTTCAGCGAAAACATTTCCTGGATATTTGGTAATAAGCTTGGATTTTTCTTTTAAATTCATCATCTCCTCATCACCCACATCTTTTTCCAGCCAAGTCCATTCTCATGTGCTGCAATCAGCAACAGAGCGAGCACATCCTTCTTCCCAGCTGGAAGTGGGAGATGCCACAGTAGGGAAGGCAGCAAGCACTGCTGCTTTAGGCAACTTCAGCTAGAAGCTGTTTTGAGGGAAGGATTAAAGAGAAGGAGGGGGATTAATCTTTTGGAGGTTTTTCCTTTTTTCTCCAAGCTAAAAAAATTTCCAATTTCAAATTGTCTTGCAGAGGGGTAAGAGGGAAGTTCCCACTGCTTTCAGCTGTGAAAAACGTTGACATTTTCAAACTGCAACACATTTTCAAGCAGCTCTTCTTGTTTCCCTTCAGAGCTCATCCCAAATAATCCCCTTGTGCTGCAGGGCTCTTTGGGAAAGGATTCACAGCTCAGAAAGTCTCCATCCCAACCCGATTTGCTGCCCTAATCTCCCCCTACAGCTCCACTTCCATCAGAAGGGGCAGGGGCTGGTGCTGTGCCAGGCAAACCAGGAGCTGCTTTTCCTTGAGGGGAAGCAATCTTCCCTCCCAGGGTGTCTTTCAGAGCTCTTTTCACAGGGCTCTGAACCCGAGGTGAAAGACACGGCAGCCTCACTTTTCTAACCAATATTTCAATTCCTTATGTGCCCATTTTAGTGCCTTTCATTGCTACGAGGTTTGCAGAAAACCCACATCGATGCTGTCACTGCTGAAGCAGCAGCTGCTGTTCCTTGCACGGGACAAAACAAGGCAGCTCCTCCAGAGGCCGCCGGGGATTCCTCGGATTAGCAGGAGCCTGTTCCTGGACACACCGGTGTCAACAACAGGGACTAACATATGCTCTGACATCCCAAATCATCCTGCCTGGCCTCAATGCCTCGCTTGAGAACCAGGAACAAAAAATACTCCTCTGGCCTTGGCAGGACCACACTGATGTCAACACAAGAGTTCCCGTTCTTCCCTCAGTCCCAGAGGAACTGGAAGCTGGCAGAGAGTGGCCATACCTGGTTTTAACCTCACCTGAAACACTGGCCTTGTGGAGACAGTTTATGCTCTGGCATCTGATTACACAAAGTACTTGAAGCTCCCGAGCTGTCAAAAAGTCAAGACGTTCATTTTATAACCTAACGAGTATGAACTGTGCTACTCCAAAAATTCCAGGTGGTATTCCAGAGGTATTGTGGGATCTAAGCTTACTCCTTAATAATAATCATATTAGTCCTCAATAACAGTCTATTTATTCCTCCATCCTGTAGTGGTACTATGTATCTATAAATATTTCAATAAACATTTTGAATCAGGCTGAACCTGCAGCCGAGCTTCTGACAGGGGAGATAGATGAGAAATGAAGTTGAACTTACTCATATCTTTCAGAAAATCATCTTACTTTGTGATCTCTGTGACTCGGGGGTGTAAAGTCCATCTTACTTTATATTGACCTACAAGCTGCACTCGGGAATAGGCAGAAAAAACACGCTCAGAGACACAGCAGGGCTGTGTGAGGAGCAGAGTGAGCAGCTGTCCTGCATCCATAAGGGGTAGGCCACACTCCTCCTGACAGCATCCAAGGGAAAAAGAAAGATTTGACACGTTGTTCATGTCAAACAGGACTTTAAAATCAAAATATTATGAAGCCTTTATAGCAGTTTCTACCTTTTAGAGATGGGTTGCAAACACGGTGTCGTGACTGTTAATGGCAGCTTCCCATGTAGCAAGAAAATAGGATTTTTTCATCACAGGAATCAAACCCTGCAGTGGGAAGTAGCTTCAGATCCCTCATCTCACCTCCACCATCCAGCTCTGCTAATGCCAACACAGTAAGGGACATAGCCAGCTCTTTGTTAGCCTGTCTCTGGGAGGTTTAGACCCAATTTAATCACTATTAACTCCTGCAGTCACAAGTAAAACGTTCACTACTCTGACAGTTTATGGCCTCCCAGTCCTTCCTTTGAGTGTCCTTTCCTTAATGTCTCATTTTGGTTTTACAAGGGCAGGTAACATCAGAGCATCTGGAAGCATTAAGAAAGATAAAATAAAACTCAGGTGAGCACTGCTACCCCCCCCTCCTGCTCCTAGTTACCCCTCAGGGCAATCCTTTGGCTTGTGTTTGAGCAGGGAAATTCCAGCCTGGGATGATGGCTTCTGCAGGAGCAAGCCATGAAGAAGTGGTCACAGTAGAGGTGAGTTTTCTTCTCTTGACATTATAAGGCTTTTCTCTCTGTGTCCTTAAAATGAAGGTTCTGAGCCCATTGCTGCCATCTGGCCTTTGAGATCCTGCTAAACTATCACTGCATTTCCTACGGCCTTCAGCTCGTATGGGATTTCCAGCTGAGCTGCTCACAGCCTATGGAAAAGCAACTGGAGCAGCGAGAAGAATTGCTGCTCTAAGCAGGAGAGCAGAGTGGGGAAGGAGAAGGACTGAAGATAAATCAGAAAAATCTTGGTTTGGTTTGTTAGACTCAGGAGGATTAAAGACAAAGCCTTTAGAGATTAGCAAAGGCAAGTGCAGGGGTTAAATGTCTGCACCAGCACGGCACCCCAAGGCAAGGGACATCAGCAGCTGTCCCTGCAGCTCACTGGCTGATTAAATATTGGAGCTGAAGGGTCTAGAGAATTTCTGGTAAAAAAAGAACCAAAATGCAGGGAAAGCTAAAAAGGTGCTAATGGATTTTAGGGATGGATTTTTGACAGAAAGTGTTGGGTGGAGGAGTGAGAGGGGAGAGACAATGGTTCTGAAAATCAGTGATTTGAGACTCTTCTTCCTAAAAAAAAAAAGAAGTAGCAGAAAAACTGAGTTTTGTTCACATGGAAAAATCTAAAATTGCACCACAGGCAGTACTAGAGCAGAACTCACACCCCCTACCTCCCACCCCAGCCTTCAATCACCCTCCTACCTGGAAAAGGCTGCCACATTATCTGCCAGCGTTTCCTGGTCATCCGCCCCGGATCGGTAATAATCGTACACGGATTTGGGGAGGAATGCTTTAGCATACTCCTCAAAATCACCAATGCACACTGGCTTTCCAGACATGGCTGCAGATCCCACGGGGTCAGTTTATTGCCACTTCCCTCTCTTTTAAGATCTGGGTTTTTGTCTGTAAATCATTAATACGGGACCTCATCGGGATTCAATTTACCTACATTTCAAAGAAAAAGAAAAATAAATACACCAGCTTCTTGTGTCACGTTGGACTTCAGCACTGTGTTTTATTCCATGTGGTCAAGGCCAACCTGGAATAGAATGGAAAAAGGTACAGTAAAAATTAAAAAAGAATAAGCAAAGAACAAAATACGTAGTTAAACCTGCAATAACAGGAGTGTACAGTCCCTCACAGACACGTTTATCATCCAAAACATCCATGAGATAAACCTGAAAGTTTGTTTACACCCAAAAAGCAAGACCTTGGTTTAGGTGATTTCTAAATTCGTGAAAGATTTCTTCATTGAATCCTGACCTAAATTTTAACAAACAGACATGGTTTGCAATGGGTTTATGGTAGCTGTTTGTCAAGGGAAACTTCCAAGTGCGTGCATAATTCAGTTTTCCAGCTGTGGGCTGCAAATTAATATCAGTATCCACACAAATACAGCACGAGGCCTTTACCCACAGATGAGTGTCAGGAAGAACTGAAATGCAGACTGGTTTAACCTTGGCACTGCTCTGTGCTCCCAGCACAAAGCTGGGGACCTGTCTGCTTGCATTTATTTAAAGTTTGCAGCACCTGTGCTAAAAAGGGGTGTTTATCCCAGAGCACGAGACAGTGGCACGACAGCTGAACATTTTAATACGTGCAGATGTATTCCAACTTAGTGAACTGAAAAGCTTTTAATGTTGGAATGCTGCAAAAGTTTCTGAAGTCCCCAACATGGAATTTAATGCCAACGTCTCACCAGCACACGCAGCTTCCCGCCAAGTAATTGGCTCCTTGTTTTAATGAATCTCTCTGGATGAGGGTTCCTCCAGCTGCTTTAATGAGGCATCAGCTGACCTTTAACCTTGGAGCAAATGATCAGCATCTGACTGAACCTGTGTCCTGCTGCAGGATCACAGAGATGCCAACGGTCTCCCACTGACACATAAAATATTCCATAGGGGAAGGACGAGCCAGCTGGGATTTTCTCACTCCAGTTAACTGCAGCAAAGATTAACTGGCACAGTTAACTGCGGCATATAATTCAAATATTTCAGTGTTCAAGCCATCAAGACTGTTGTGCAAAGCTGTTTTATCAAGTCACATAAGCAAACACTCGTTTTGGCTTCCAAATTCCCCGTGAACACTTGTGAATTTCTCCAAAATAAAGCCAGAAAACCCCTATTTCCTGGAGCGTTTTCAGACAGTCTCTCACACCAATCAGAGCTGGACTGACATTTCTTTAGACCCCTCCAAGTCCGTCAGAAGAACCAGCAGGAAATATTTGGGGTTTTTTTATCCCAGCAACTCCAGCACGGGAGTCAAAACTGATGGATGTTGCAGGGACAGGGACAGTCCCTTGGCCACTCAGCACAGGCAGTGAGCAGGTGGCTGGAACAGGCCCCTGGATGTCTATTTGGGGACTGCTGGGATGGCAGGAGGCTGGGGCATGGGGCAGAGGGTCAGTTCTCCTGGGAGGAGCTGGATAACTGTGCACAAGGAAACCAACCCAGGGTAGGTCTACAAAGAGGTTCTCAGTGCCAGTTTTGCCCCCTCAACCACACAGTGACATAAAAAGTGCCCTTATCAAGGGTGATTTTTTCACTTCCTTATGTGGCACTGACACAAATTCCCATTTGTTCCCTGTCTGTTTAAATCCGGAGCTTTCCTTTCTCCTCAGGAAAGACAAAGTGAAAATAAAGCACAGAGAGGTTTTTTAGGTGTTTTCCTACTGGGAAAGGAATGAAGATGCTGGGTTAAAACAAGTAGTCCCTGCAGTGTGATCAGCTCCCAGGAGGAGGCACACACTCCTCGGCAGCCCCATTCCCAGGAGCTGGGAGTTACCACTGGTCCAGCTCAAAATTCCAAGGTGCAGTTCAAAATTCCAAGGTAGAAACTCACGCTTTTCTACCCCTTTAGTTCAGCCATCAGAGTATCTTCATATTTCCTCTGCAGAACTAGAGCTTAGGTTTGTCTGACTGTGGATAATAACTTCCAGAGCCGGATCAGATTTTGGCTGTAGGATCCCACGTGCTGTTTTCACGGAGAAAATTTCATGTTCTCGCAAAACAGAAGGAGAAGCAGCTGATGGAACAGCAAACCAACAAAACACAAGGCTTCATTTGACACCATTCCAGCTTCCACTTTACAGCAGGAGATGGATGTAAAGGAAAAGAAGCAAACCAAAGGGAATGGCAAATCCCCCAAGCCCTGCAGCTGCTCTGTTCCCAGGGAAAGGCAGCTCAGGGAACTCACCTGAAGAGAATGAATCCATGTACTGGTTCCAGTTGCTCACATCATCCAAGTAGTTTGCAGTGATGATTCCTGGTAGTCCCTCCTCCCTCTGGCACAGCTGTCCCTATGGACCATTCCTTCAGCTCTGCATGCTGTGAGACACAACCTGAGGATGGGCCATTTAGCTCTGTACCTTTATCCTGGACCACATCCTGCTGGCCTCCAAATGCCAAATTATTGCCAAATTATTGCCAAATTATTGCCAAATTATTGCCAAATTATTGCCAAATTATTGCCAAATTATTGCCAAATTATTGCCAAATTATTGCCAAATTATTGCCAAATTATTGCCAAATTATTGCCAAATTATTGCCAAATTATTGCCAAATTATTGCCAAATTATTGCCAAATTATTATTGCCAAATTATTGCCAAATTTGCCAATTGCCAATTATTGCCAAAAATTATTGCCAAATTATTGCCAAATTATTGCCCCAAATTAGCCAAATTAGCCAAATTATTGCCCAATTATTGCCAAATTATTAAATTATGCCAAATTATTGCCAAATTATTGCCAAATTATTGCCAAAATTATTGCCAAATTATTGCCAAATTATTGCCAAATTATTGCCAAATTATTGCCAAATTATTGCCAAATTATTGCCAAATTATTGCCAAATTATTGCCAAATTATTGCCAAATTATTGCCAAATTATTGCCAAATTATTGCCAAATTATTGCCAAATTATTGCCAAATTATTGCCAAATTATTGCCAAATTATTGCCAAATTATTGCCAAATTATTGCCACAGATGAGCCAACCACACACCGAGGAAATGAAAACTACCTGCGAGATGGTCATAAATACAAAGTTTATGTGGAATTTCAGTAAAAATACCCAGAGTATAAATTTGCAACACTTCCATGTGACAGACAATCCCAGGACATTTCCAGGCAGCAATCCCACAGAACACAGCCCACCCAGGAGGCAGCAGATACAGAGCATTCCGAGACTCACAAGTTTCACACAGACCTCAAGGACAAGAGGTTTGGAAGGCTGGCTGGATTTCCAACCCGCTGGAATTTTTGCCTGACTTGCTGTTAAGGATTCCCGTTCGGATCCATCAGGGATTGGTTGCCAATTTAAATTGACATTTAAATTGGTTCTCAACCACCCCAAAGTAATTTTTGACACACAGCTCTTCCAAGGCCGTTTTGTCTACACTGAGGTTGCAAGAACAAGCTCCAATTTTTAAGATTAATCATAACAGAACACTCGGATTGCACAAAAGGTCGAGCCTGACTTTTTGGAAACACACCAAGTTTAACACAATTGTAAACAGTCTAATTAGTACTACTGGCATGATTCAATTAAAATGTGTTTTAGCGGGAAGAAAACTGATCCTGGGAACTATATGAACATGACACCTTTACTGCACAGCTCATAGTTTTTCTGTTGAACACAAATTTAGCCTTTGCAGTGTTTCCTACTTGCTGTTTGCCAGATAAACTTTGGTCACAGCTCCAATAAATCTCCTACAAACGTACAGCTAAGTTGGAGGGATCAATGGTTGCACAGTATCTCTTTTTCGAAAGCCTAATTACAACTTAGTGATCTTTGTAATGAGATACACCAATACATGTCAAACCCCATTAATATTCCCTACTTTATTGATGAAAACACAGGAGCAATGACATCCCTACTATGGTCAGGAACCCTGAGAAGCCTGGCATAGCTCATTTCCAGATTCCCAAGACAGATCTAAACCGTGGTCACTTGCTGCCTGCTTACTTAATCCCTGCTTAGTGATCCCACAGGAAAATACTTGATCTCTTCAGTTTAAACAACCCAAACTCAACGGTGCCAGGCAACAACAGAGGAAATGTCAGCAGAGACTCCGCTCACCACACAGAGGAGCTTCTGATCTTCCTCAGAGCGTCCCACAACCCCTGTGCCTTGCAGCACAAAGTGCCACTTGTGGGTTTGTTTGCCTTTGGGATCCAAAGACAGCGTAGTGAAACCCAGCTCCTGTGAGAACTCCTTGTTGTCTAAACACCCAAACACCTCGAGCTGAGCACTGAGAAGAGCTATCCCTGACTTTTTCATCCTTCAATTCCCAACAGCGTTCAAGAAAGCCACGTGAGGTGTAGGGATGTGTAAAGTCAAAACCTCTTCAAACAGCTGGAGAGAACATCAGGTGACTGGCTCCATGAGAATACAAAAGTGAAGCAAAATCCAATCAGAATTCCACATGGACACGCTCCCTCCTGCCCCTGAGAACCACAAGACCCTCGGGGGTAGAGAACATCCTCTCTGGGGACAGGCAAAGGCATCACTGCCCTCAACCTGAGCTGGATCCAGTCGCACAGATTTTTCCGTGCCCGGTAGGTTTGGATCCCCAATTTAGGGAATATGTCTCTTCTGACATTAGCTCATGCAAGTTCCTGTACCTGAACACACACCCCAGCTCCTGCTCGTGTCACGAAACATGGTCACACTCCTGGGTTTCTTTCAGACTTCCCAGAGCTCCTGATGCACAGATAACAGAAAAAAAAAATCATAAGGGAAACAATTCTGTACTCTGAACTTTGAAGTGCACGGTTTTCAAGCCACAGTGGCCATAGAGGTTTTTTTTTTTATTTTTGGATATAAAAGTTTAGCTTTTCAAAAGCTGCTGTGTGAGCTTCCACAACAACTCATTCCATGGGGCACACCCCACACAGACTCTTCTCATTATAGTGCAATGGATGTTATAAACCATCACATGAGACAGGACATAGACGGGAAAAGCTAAGCTTTCTTAGTAAATATGTTCTTTATGAGCATTTAAAAAAACCCAAACAAACACAACAACAAAACATTACTTTCAACACAAATTGCCCTTATTAATCTCAGTCTCAAAGGAAACCAGCATTTTGCACTTGCAAGCTTGTCTCTTCTAATGAGAGATGATCTCATCTCTGATCACTCTCCATTCTTGAAGAACAAGGTGAAATGCATGCATGTGAGCAAGGCTTATGCAATATATATATGTATATATTTTAAAAATAGTATCAAGATTAAGACATCTTACACACATGGTCAAACACCAACAAAACAAACATACAGGACTTCACTGTAGATGTTCCCTCCCAAAAAAACCTCACGTATTAACCCAGTCGAAGGAGTGATATAGTGATTTTTCTAGTGACCCAAGTCTTCTAACCAACCTAATGCTGCCCACCTGACAAGCCATTTTCACTGTACATGTTTCAGCACACACATTTTTATTCTGATATAAGTAGCAAAACTAACAGCTTCTCCCCACCACCCAGCTGTGCCCCCCTCTTTTCCCAGTGACAAAAAGTAGAAAGGTTCAAAGGATCAAAGGTTAAACCCCTACGTGCCTCTTCAGTTCTGCCAAAAGTATTCCCAGCTGGAAATGGCAGGACTGCACTGCATATGACAAGCTTGGATTGGCAAGAAGTATACAACTCACTGACTGCAAAGTGAGTATTTCTTGCTACAATCACCTGATGGGAACAAATTGGAAGGAAAAAAAAAAAAAAAAAAAGAGAGTCATGCTTTGGCAAAAATTCCCCCTGAACAAAATAATTTCCTTTAAACCTTTTAAAAAGTTCCAAGACATTTTCAACATTTAGCTGCCACTCTCTTTCTGCCTGAGGTTTTCAATTACTCCAACTTTTCGGGTCAAAGAACCCGAGCTGTGCCTCTGGATCACCAAAAACTGACACATCCGGGGACGTGCTGTGGGACAACAACATGAACAAAGATGAGTGAGAAAGGTGCTTCAGTTGACAGTGATAAAACCAAACCCATTGTACACAACATTTTTGAGAGAAGACCGGTAAGGTGCCTTCTTTCGGGAGTGTGTCCCTTATCTGTGCTCCTGGGGCGTTTGGGAACAATAAACATTCAGAGAAGTCAGTCCTGCCAAGCTACTGTGGAGTTAAAAGCCCTGATCTTGCTCAGGGAGGGACACACACACACACACACAGACATTCCCCAGCTGGTGAACTGAGGCTCACACCCCCTTTTCTCTTAGAAGACAAGGACCAGATAAGACCCCCTGGTTCTGATTGTCACGGCTAAGGTTACACAGCATCTGTGCTTATCGAACAAAGGAAGCCAGTCCTAGCTTAAAAAAAAAAAAAAAAGAAAAAAAAAAAGACAAGCCTGCTGACAGAGCAGAGGTTTTGGTAAACACAAATGACAAATCAAGTTTAAGCTCCAGCTTCAGACCCTGGTCTGACACTTCTTTGGTCCAGGTGCACAAAATCCCCCACGGAGGACTAGAGTTCCTTCTCGGCCCCCTGACTTTTGCGCTGCCTCACTGAGCTCTCGCTCTCTGACTCAGCCACAGGTTGTTCGCTCAAGTCTTCTGTTTCTTCTTCCCCTGATTCTTTCCCAAGTGCCAAATCCTCCTCGGAGTCCTCAGCACTCGAGTTTGCTGCATCTTCTCCCTCTGAGAGATCCTTCCCATCCGCAGCCTCTTCCGCTTCGTCCGCGGAAAGCTCCGTAGGCTCCTCCGGCTCCTCCAGCGCCGCGTTCTCCACGTTGTCCTTCGTGACGGCTTCCTCTAAACACAACAAGAGTTTCAGAGGCTGCAGTGAGACTGAACCCCGGGACAGTGGCCTGTAAAGGTGCATCACCACCTGTGTGTTCTGAAATACTGAGGGATGTCACTGACTGGGGTTATTATCCCAGCTGGGACTGGAACCGGACCATCTTTAAGGTCCCTTCCAACAAAAAAAATTCTGTGATTCTACTGAAAACTTTTATTTTTCAATTCATTCAAACAAATCTTCAGTAGTATTTCTCCTCCACTCTCATTTGGTTTTCTTGCCTATCGGGCACAGACAACTTCCACTTTATTCTACAAACCAAAGACAACCCAATTTTCCCTGACTCCTGGATTATTGGTTCATATGTATTGCCCTCCCTCCTGCAAGTTTACACTCAAACCTACCATCTCTCACCCACTTACCAGGTGTTTCAGCCTTGTATTTTGAGCTGGTTGGGCAGAGGCAGTCTGAAATCAAAACCAGGATCTGTGGAAAGGACAAAAAGGCATTTATTAGCAATAATTACAGAGGCATTTATTAGTGGTTCCAAAAGTCCCTGCACTCATTCTTTTTAGACAGATACGCATAATAAGGCTTTCTAAATTATATTATCTTGCTTAGAGACAAGAGCTAAATAAAAACATGGGAAGAAGTGCTTTCCCAGTGTGTACTAACCAGCATTCTCTGCTTTCTACTCCCCATTTTCTGCCTCCTACTTTCCTAAAT